CCCTGGAATCTGAGCACCGGCTGCCCGCAGGGGCTTCCTGGTGCTTTACCTGACAGTCCTCAGAGAACCCCTGCGGCAACCGAGTGTAGAGATGGGGAAACTGAGGCTCCTACCTTGTCCAAGTCACCTCCAAGCCTGGCCAGCTCGCTGGGGGCGCGTGAACCGGGCCCCCTTTCCGGGGAGAGGCCCCGGGGGCTCCCGAGACCTAGACTCAGGCCCCGCAGGGGCTGAGGGGGGAGGAGTGTGGCCAGGGAGGGGGCTGATAGGATGCCTTCCTGGGGCTGAGGAGGGCTAAGGGAGGCTTATCCGGGGCCGGGTTCACCGGGCTGGGCGCTGTACGCGGGAGGCTGGTGCAGCCCCAGGACCAGCCCAGGAAGGAAGTCCTGACAGTGGGCACACGGAGATGCGTGGGGTCAGGGCATTGGCCCAGGGTTAGTCAGGGCTGGGATGCAGTGGACCCTGGGGCTCCACGTCCCAGCCCGGTCACTGGCCAGGGCGGCGCCCACGCCGCAAGGAGCCGCGGGCGCTGGGAGGAGCAGCGGGTCAGAGCCGGAGGTCTGCAGCCCCGCTGTCCGCAGGTTGCCGTCCGCTCTAACGCGCAGCCTGGTGGGTTTGGGAAACCCGAAAGCAGAGAGCGGGGGCGTCATCCGGAAGTCCTTGCGGAGGGCCCTGAAGGGCCGGGTGGACTGGGATGGGCGGCCGGGTGTTTGCCCCGAGGCTCTCCCGGAAGCCATCCTTCCACGACTTCCTGGGACCCCTGGACCCGCGAGGAGGTCCGCGCCCTGCGGAGGCTGAAGGCGCTCGGGGTCCGGGGAAGGGCCCGCGCTGGGATCCCCAGGACGCCCGCGCCTGCGCCCGCGGCGCCCCAGCTCCTCCAGAGAAACCCACGCGGGCCGCGGGCGCCCTCGCGCGACAGAAGAATTAACTCGCGCCTCCAGCACGGGGGGCGTGGCCTGTCCAGAGACCACCAAGGCCGCGAGGTCCCGCAGGGAGGCGGACGGCACATGGGACAGAGGAGACACGGCTGAGCTCTGGGAAGGACAGACCGGCTGAGGGAGGGGTCCTCCCCTGGAGGCCAAAGCCAGGGGTAGCCTTTCCAGGGCGATCATGGCCGTGGCCCCTCTGGGGAGGTAAGGGCCTCCAGTGAGGAGGCCAGGGCAGGAGCCCAGGTGGGGGTGGAATTTGGAGGGAGTGATAAGGGGGCTCTTGGGTTGGATGTGACAGGGAGAGGGGACGCTAGCCAAGGTGACACCTCGGTTTGGGGCTTGGGCGGCTGTGTGAGTGCCCGTGCCATTTCTTCTGAAGGGGAATATACTGCTCGGGTAGTGGGGGCAGGTTGGGATGGGAACCAAGAATTCCACTTTAAGATTCCCTCAGTTTCAGGTGGAGACCCAGAGAGAGGTTGGGGCTGCAGATGAAAGTGTCAGGGTAGCAGGGTGTGGCCTGGTCACGCAGAGGGAAGAAGGGAAA